ATCGGATAGTGTTACCCGCGCGTGACGTTTTTTACATTATCCCCGCAAGTGCCGTCTGTGTGCGGCATCTCTCTGTATTACTCTGTACATAGTGAATCGAGATCATCTTTTTGCAGATGGTACTTATGAAGGTATACTATGATGCCTGAGTGAAATAACAGGGAATGATGAAGAAGGTAGCCCTTGGCCGGTCATATTGTCAAGTTTTTACAGAACCCCCCCAATGATAGTAACTCGGTGTAAGTATGTACAGTAGTACGCGTCCATCTCGCCGCTGCCAACGCTATCGAGCCATCCCACAGGACCCGAGTTCCCGGAATGTTCTCGGAACGCGTTCTGATCGGCTCCGTCAGTCAGTGGCTACCAAACTGTACACCGGCGCCATCTGCATGGAAGGGGAGCGATGACGTTTCTCGCTCTGTGTATACACCAATGCCAACAGCCACGTCCCCCCCACCCCCACCTGCACTGATATTCGAGCGCGTGAAGGGCGAAGGGAGGGCGTTCCCGTTCCTCCTATCGCAGACTACTACATTCCAAGTATTATTTGATCTCCCAATTGCGACGCATCAGATCGCCCAGGCCAGCCACTGAGCCAGCGAGGGTCACGCGCGACAGGAACTTGCCCGCCATTGGCCGGCAGCCCCGGTCGCTGCGCTCCATATCCAATTACCCCCCCCTCCCCCAATGCCATATCGCAGTGCGCAGGTCTCACTAATCCTACATGCCGCCAACTAGTTCCATCGCGCGCCCACAACGCCGGGCGAGCCACCCCCAATCAGCACGCCCACCCAGCCGTACATCAAAATGACATGACATGACATCACTAAATCAGTCCACACAACCACCGCCCCGCCTTCGCCTCGACTTCGGTCTGCTCCTCTTCCCTCCTAAGAATACAGATATATCCGATAGTCCACGGCGACAGCGCGAGAGGGCACTCACACTCACTGCGCGGGCGCCGAGCCGAGCGAGTACCCCACCTGCGGCAGACACGAACAAGGGCGGTTAGTGACTAGTGCACGAGGCATCAAGACATGGAAGGAAAAGAGGAAAAGGCGAAATGCAGGGCACCCCAGAGCTGCTGAACTAGTAACTAGCACCTGCGACGGCGTCGCATAGCTAGTGCGGGTGCAGTACCAGCCAACCAACCGGCGTCGGCGCGAATGGAGATGGGAGACTGATGGGTGTGTGGACTTGTCGATCCGAACGCGAGTCGCAGACCGCCGGAAACGAAAACGAAAACGAAACCGTGTGTGAGAGAGAGGGACATCCACCACCGCCCCCCACCCCCACCCCCCACGCCGCCTGAACCGAAAACGCATAGTCGAACGTACACACCTTGACAAGCGTCTCGACAGGCTTCAGCGAATTCTCCACCAGGTCCTTGTCGAACCTGCACACGCGCAGTCAGTCATCAGTCAGTATGTATCAGTGAAACAAGCCCGCGGCCGGAAGCGAAGAACCCCGCCAGATCCCACGTCCCAGATACCCCCGCCCTCGCCTCGCCTCGAAGCGGGAGCCGACGCTCGCCGCCGGGCCATAACCCGCGCGCGCACTCACTCAATCACGCCCTTCGGGAACAGAACAACGACCGTGCTCCCGCCGTACGCAAAGTACCTATCGCAGCCATGAGCACGAGCACGAGCCCCGCGCGGGAGAGAGGAGAAGCCGAAGCCGCACCCGAGCTCGTCGCCCCGCCGCACCGCCCCGCCCCCCGTCCAGCCGATGCCCCCGACGAGCAGCGCGCCGACCGCGACGACCGCGACCTCGCCGCGCGCGCGCGCGTGCGCGACGTACGCGACGGAGCGCTTGTTCGCCGTGAACACGTCGAACGCGGGCTCGTTCACCGCCTGCGGGTTCACTGGCGCGCAGCGTCAGCGCCCCGACGCGGCAGAACGCATGATACGCACCGGTGTAGTACTGCCCGGGGATGTCGGTGGGCGCGCGCGTGACGGCGCCGTCGAGCGGGCTGTGGAAGCGGTGGTAGTCCTGCGGCGCGAGGCGGCATATGGCCATGCTGCACCCCGCGTACAGCCGCGCGCGCGCCGAGTCGGGCGCGACGCCCAGCAGCTTCGGGATGCTGAACTCGTCGCCTTTGATCCTGTCGCGAGAGCGGTCGGTCGGTAAGCGTCAGTGCGCGGGGCGCGGTGCTCACCAGAACTTCTGGGCGAGGGCGACGCTGCTGAAGACGATCAGTCGGCAGTCGGCGGGGCTGCAGAATGCGTCGGGGTTGTCCGCGTTCTGGACAGGGCGCGCATCGGGCTTGAGTTTCCTGACAGTCACGGTGAGCAGGACCTATTCAGAGGTGCAACCATACTGGCCTGTAGAAGAACTCGTTGAAGCACTTGTAGAAACTCAGATCGGGGTGGAGCAGCTCGTCGAGCTGGATGTTGTACGTGGAGATGAAGGACGGGATCGACTTGACGGATTCGGGGCTGTCGTAGATCTTTCCTTGCTGCAAAGGCGCTCAGTCAGCTGGCGTAACGCGACTGGCAGCAGGACGGCCTCACCTTGATCGACTCGTCGCGGAGAAGCTCGTCGATGCGCTTGTTCCCCTCGAGCAGCTTGACCTGCTCGCGGCCGTAGAACAGCAGATGCATGCCGATGCTAGGCAGGATCGGTGAGCTGTGCTGCAAGGCTGCTGGGCCGTACGTACCGCGCGTAGATGGGCATGCTCTCAAAGATCCGCTCGTCTGTGCCCCTGATGACGACGAAATTCCCGACGTGGTACTTGTTGGCGAGGTCTTCGATGCCCGGGATGAGCTTGTGCACCCAGGGGATGCTGGGAATGAGGTGCATGGGGCCATGGATGCTCTGGGTGACATCTGTGTGTTTGCTGGAGTGCTCGACGATGGTGGAGAGGGCCTGGGCGAGGGTGTCCTTGTTGGCGTGCGGGAGGTTGTCGGGGTGGATGGTCTCGACGGGCTTGTCGACGTTGTTGGGGTGCAGCGAGGACATGGTGGGAGGCAAGGTCGAGGACTGGTATCAGCCCCGAGGTACATAACCCTCGCAAGTGACAGATGAGCGTCATACTGATGCTGCCATGTTCTATTTTGGATTGATCCTATTTTAAGTCACCGTAAATATCCATCGCTGCACCTCGATAGGCTGCGGCAATAGTCAGCCATTGCCATCACCTCTCGGCCAATGGATACAGACCTGAATGTAAGCGCTGCAAGAGCCTCTGGTACATCGATAGAAATGGATAGCCCTTCGTCCAGCCTTAGCTCTGGTTCCCTGCGAATGTCACTACGAGCAGCCCACAGCGAGCTCTGACTCGTTTGACGCAAACTTCCTGTCGTCAGACTAGTACCACGTCCCAGTCATCGAGCGTCGCCCCTCGCAGCCATTTATCCCACCAATGCCGCCGAGCTGGAGAATCACGACCACTAGTGCAATCTTCGTATATTCCTGCCGAGCGCCTCTATTTCCACTGCGACCTCGCCCGCCACGACGACCTGTCCCCGGCTCTCAGCGACGACCCGCACGACCTCATGCGGTGCTACCCCGGTCGCCAGAACACCATCGCCCTCTCGCGCCAACGTGATCTCTTCTCCTCCCAGCACGACGAGCGGGTCCGCATACTACTATTAGGGCGTGTCCCAGAACAATCGGCTCCGACAAGGCAAGCCTGCGGAACTGACCTGCGCGCACGTGCATGGTCCGCCTTCCTCCTCGCGCCGATAGACGGCGCCGTGCATCTCGCAAGCCCTGCCGCGAGAGCCTAAGGACATGTGGGGGGATGAGCTCCCCCCACTTCATGAACCTCCGCTCTGGATAAGGCGGTAGGGCCGTGCGAGCACGGCAGAGCCCGCTACCGTAGATATAGATGATATTTGGTAGCAAGCTGAACACTCTACATCCTGAGCAGTGTCATTATATCTATTTTTGCGAAAGTAGCTGTGTTCCAGCAATTATTTCTGATTGAGCATTCAACTCAATGGCCTGGGGTCCTGAGAGATGTCCACTCATCCCTCCCTCAGGTTTCGAGAATACAAGTTACATATGCAAAACAACTGACATCAGAGTATTCTGATTTTACCTTGAGACCGCAAGGTCCAAGGCCCCGAGCAAGGTCAGTTCTGTCTCTGAGTCCATTGACAATCATCCGCCACCTTGGCTATAAAGGGCAAGAGAATGACACGTGGCATGACTATCGGGGTCCTTCAAGGACCCCACCTTTGATTGGTCCAAAGCCCTGTCCCGCTCTTGCCGTTCACCATATACGGTTAAGCGCCAAATAGTGTCAAATAAATCGCGTAGATCTTGAAACGATCGCAGGAAACCTGCGAACGGCCGGGGGGTCCAAGACCCACTACCTACGGTAGCGGGAATAAGCACTTGTTAACCGCGTAGCGCGAACGGGCCGATGCTTGCGGGCGGGACAAGCGCGATACCGTGGTAGACGGGTCGCGCGCAGCTCTCGCGGAACGCTGGGTACCCTCTCCCTGCCGATCGAGCGACGCGACACATCCCGTACCAGCTGCGTCTCCTCTGTCCGTCGTAAACCCAGCTCCTCGTATCCGCATGCAGTCGTCGCGACGATGATGGCGGTCCCAGGCCAGCCCCCCGGCACGACCTTCCCAAAATTCCTCACTGGATCCTGTATGGCGCAACTTGGGCTCAGCGTCCTGTGCTCCTGCGCATCCCGCATGGTATATACCGCTCTACGGCCGCAGGATGCTGCGGACCGGCTTCACCTCAGAGATTCGCGCGCAGCCCGAGTCAATCCACCCATGCATGGACGAAGAACGATAGGCGGGTGCGCTGGGCGCCATCCCGGGATTCTCGGTCCATAGGGTGCACAAAGGCGGGGGAGGAGCACGTATGCTACGGGCACTGCCGCCTCCTCCGAGTACACCGCCCGTCCTCGATGTTCGCACATATGCTCGCCGTGCTTGGTGGGCGTCGTATGTTCGCAGGACAGGACTCTGCACCGGACACGTAGATATCCCTGGGGCGCCCCGTGCCCCCGAAAGTGAGTACGTCTTGTTCGAAGCAGCTGATATCCACTCTCAGCCACCACGGCGAGACAGCACTTTCGCGGCTCTCCCAACGGGCAGTCGTGGGTCGGCGAGGGATACCTTCCCTAGATCTGCAATATTGACACGGCATCGACGACGTCGGGGAAGCGCCCCCCGCCCGAATCCCACTTCTTCTTCTTGCTGAATGAACAATCCTCACGGCATGCCGCCCGACGCTGGCAGGGCGCGCGCCGATGTGCGAATCCCGCTGTCGACAGTCAGTCAGCGCACGCCCTGGATGGACGTCGCTTCGCTGTCCCGGGTGGATGCTGCGCCAGAACATCCGAGTGCTCCTCCGTCCCCGCCGTCCTTTCTCGCGTTGTATGCATAACCGTTCGTCCCTGCGAGGCTACGTCCATCCCCCTCTCGCCCCGCTCGTCTACCCGGGCCGTCGCCTCAGAGTCCAATCCCGAACGTGTCCCTCGAGAATGACGCATGCGGCGTCGACGCGAGATTCTAGGGGAGTAGCGATGTGTACCTGGCGAGTGTCGATATTAGCTAGCGGTCCAGTTCGTACGAAGACGAAGCTGGCTGGAATCTTGACTCTCGTGACCCCAGGACCATGCGAAGCACATCGATCGCGTGTCGATAGTCCAGTTGTCTTCGTCGGGCCGTGCGGCTGGTTGCCCTCGCGGTGTGCACGCCCTCACCGCGTGGTTCCGATCTCCCTCTATAAAACACGGACGTGCAGGGGACTTTTGATATTCTCTCATGATCGATGCCCGACATCACTCAACCGGCGCGCAGCTCCATGGTTAATCTCTCATTATAAGCCCCCCCCCCCCGGTAGTTGCCCTCGTACGGAGCGAAGAGATTTTACGCTCGTTGTCCGCACCGCCTAACAAAGACCTCGGAAGACGAATGAAGAATGAAGCAAGTACGTTCCATTCGTTTGGGGTAGACCATACTGACGCGGGAATATACACCATGATAGAGCACGCGATTCACATCGCACATCGACCCCATGTACAACCAGAAGAGAAGCATAACACATGGAAGAGCAAGCAAGGGGCAGGAATGCGTAACCAAGGCAAGTCCATCTCATTGCTTACACGCTCGACGATCTTCGCGTCGCCGAGAGTCACCAGTCAAGGTGCGTGTCAACGTCGATGGCGTCGTCTGGCCCGAGATCGATGTTGCCGAACGCGCACAGCACGTCCTCTACGGGATCTGCAGGCGTGCTAAAGTCGAAAGGCACTAGCGACATCATCGACGCGTCGTAGATGTCGACATCGCCGGCTTCGTCGGGGAAGTCGACGTCCATCGGCTCGTCCTCGCCGCCGTCCAGACCCACCAGAGTCGATACCGACATACCGGCGGGACCCTCGACCACTGAGCACTCCATAGGGTCTAAGGGCCCATGGAACGAGATGTCCATGGCCGACCCATCCGCGAACTCGACCTCTTCGATGACGCACCTCGGGCGCCGAATCTGGACCTTCCAGTCCTGGTCCATCCGGTCCACCGGCCGCTCCTCGTCATCTGAGTCCTCCGCCTCCTCAGCCTCCTCCTCGATCGCCTCCTGTGCGAGGACCTCCGCGAACGCGTTCGCGTACACCGCCTGGTACGCGTCGTGTTCGAGCGCCCACACGTTGTCCGAGCGCGGCTTGAGCGCGCCGTCGTCCTCGATGTGCGGGAGCTCGATCCCCCGCTCGGTCAAGTCGTGCTCGATGTTCTCGCGGGTGAGGATCTGCGCGTACGCGCGCGCGAGGCCTTCGGTGTACACCTCGCGCTCGAAGTCGTCGCGCGGGGCTCGTCCCATACCGACGGCGAGGCAGGCGAAGGAATCCGCCGGTGGCCCTCGCGCGGCATTCGGTTGCAGGGGCTCTGCTGCCTGCTCTGTATATGTTACGTCCTGTATGGGATGCTGCGTATGCTGTGCTGGTAGCGGCAGCTCCTTCTCGGAAGGTTCGGGCGACGTCGGTGCAGGGGGCGTGGAGAGAGGCACCTGCGCGACAGTCGCGGACGGCGTCGCGGACGAGTCATGCGCGGGACCTTCCGCGTCCTCAGCAGTCGGCACACCAATTTCTTCGGCAGAAGGCGCGCGGATGTCGTTCGCTGGCTTTAAGGGCGAAAGTTCGCCGAACTGGCGGAGCGGTGAGCTTCGGACGGGCGAAGGTGAAGATAGGAGGCAGTCTCCCGTAGCCACGGCGGGGGAATGGGCATCGCTGTACTCTTCGTGGGAGACCGGCGGAGGAACCTCTGAAGAGTCGTCCAGGCGACAGGCCTTCTCTGCAGCATTTTCGACGGCCTCGGTGGAATCGACGTGGTCGTCGTCACTGACCGCTTCGTCTGTGTTCTGCATGTCGTCGTCGCCGTCCGCTAAATCATCCTCAGCATCATCTATGGCTTCGTCGCCCTCCTCACCAGCCGAAGAGGTTTCACCCTCCTCTTCGAGACTTTCCTCTTCCTCCTGCAGAGGAGCCTGCTCTTCCAGGCACTCGCGCTCCTCCGCTCGCTTCTCGACCCCGACCAGGAAGGCGGCCACTAACTTGCGGACCAGCCGCTCCTTCCGCTCCTCAATAGAGAGTTTGATGACCTGAGTCGGAGGCTCGAAGGCGCCAGGCATCCAGACTTCATCGTTGAAGTCATCGGGCTCGACGCCCATTGCACGGAACTTCTCGATGCTTTTGCGAGGCAGTGTGTCCTTCCCGATAGTTAGTAGATACCGATGTAGTCTAGTGGTGTACGACCTACTTTGTTTATGTCTTCGCGAGCGCTCAAAGCTTTGTGGCACTGTAGGTATGTGCGCCACTCCTGAAAAGACGAAAGGCATAAGCCTCGGTGGCATGAGTGTGGCATGAGCACGTACTCTATATCCCATCCTCTTCTTTTCCAGGACACTGGCTATCCAGGTCCTGAACATAACTCTCGCCACCTTCTTGTTGAAGTCAAGCAGCCTGGACTTCAGCAATACGTGCCTCGCGAGCGAGAGAGAAGCAAGAGGCTCGCTCTCCGGTTCTATCTTCTCTGAGGGCAACTCTTTCGTGGTCAAGGAAGGACGCTTTTTCACGAAAAAGGGACGCTCGCCCTGGGGAGCGAAGGACGGCTCAGGTGCTTCGGGGTTGTCTTCAGAAACGCGCGAAGCATGACAACCCTTCTCCTCGTTCTCCTTACGCTTGCCCGATGTAGGTCGAAATTTGTTGGATCTGGGACAAACGGGTGAAGGCACGTAGCCTCTGTTGGTCTTGTTGGATAGTGGCGCGTGCATGAAGTGGCTCGAACGTCGGGAAGGTGGGGTCCTGTGGTTGAAAAGACTGGGCAAGGCGGAAGGCTGTCGCGCGCGACTCCGCGGATGGGAGTGTGGTTGAAGTCGAACTCGCTGTGGCTGGTCGATTCTGAATTTAAACAGGACGCGTCGGCGCACGTGATATATGTCGAAATGGGGTTGTTGGTCCTGATTTTGTGGCGTTGGTCAGCGGGGGCCATTGTTCTTTCTTCTTTATTTGGGCAGTGACACTAAGCGAGGGTGGGTGGAGGGCGAGGGACGCGTAATGGGGTTGCTTCCGCACAGATGTGCCACTACTAGCGCCGTTCGGTAAATCTCGCCAAGCGCTCCGACAGTGGATTGTCAGCGTACCTCGAAGTGTTCTAGGAGCCTCGAACTTCTAGTTTTTCACTGAATTGTCAAATTTATTGATTGTTTCATGATATGACTTATCGACCATCCTCTTGCCCGGGCAGCATTTTTTGACAGTTCTCGACGAACGGCCTTCATAAGGCGAAAGCGGGAAGGGGCTGTCAAAGATATGAGTTATTGCTCAATAGTCTCGTTGTTCTAGCGCG